TTTTTTTTTCACTTTTAATTAAATAAATCATTTTTTTCCCAGTGAAGTGCCAGTAACACGACTGGTTACACGTTAGCTATTTCCTGGCCTGGCACCCTGACCGTAGTTGGAATGCACAGTGACTGATCCAGTGCCGAAGCTAGCATTAGCTCCGGGGCTAACTCCCTTCATTTTGTGCTTGTCCGCAATTTAAGTTACTGGTTCATATAAAGTCTCCTTAGCATTTGGGACTTGAAATAAATAAAAGAAGAAGTGGCTATCAGAGCTCTGATTGGAAAAATATTGGCATTTTGTGACTTTCCAGCTACTTGATTTTTTTTAATGGCTTTAAAAAAAAAAAGAATCAATAATTAAAAAATGTATCACTTTTATTAAAACAATACAATCTATAAGCCGACCGACCCGCTTGAGATCATTGCAAAATAATCCGTCAAAAGAAATGTGTGACTATGATACCTATTACTACGGTGACACCCAGACTTATCGCTCCTCAGACACTTCCTCCAGCTCTTCTGGGAGGATCCCAAAGGCGTTCCTAGGCCAGCCGAGCGACATAGTTGCCCCAGCGTGTCCCGGGTCTAAACGCCCAAGCCACCTCAGCTGACTCCTCTCGATGGGGAGGAGCAGCGTCTCTACTTTGAGCTCCTCTCGAGTGACGGACCACCCTATCTCTAACGGAGCGCCCTGCGACCCTGCGAAGAAAGCTCATTTTCGCCACTTGTATCCGGGATCTTGTTCTATTGGTCATAACCCAAAGTTAATGACCATGGGTCGATAATATCTCGATAATATTGATGGTTTCTATAGACATAATAAAATGAATAGGATGTGTATTTGTTCAGTTGGGACGACACTGAAGGGGTAGATAAGAAATATGCCGTACTGAGACATCAGTTATCACTCCAAAAATTAGAGAAGATACACTCTTGATGCCAGTAATAGGACCCTTGCAGGATAATCTAAACAACAAATAATTCCAAAAGTGAAATTATTCTTAGTCTTTTCTACGAAATGAAAGTAAAAAGTAGCTTTGTTTTAGTTGAAGCTACTATTGAAGGACCGTCGGATTGGGTGACTTTGAATCTTTCTGTTTATTGATTGAGTCATTTCAGAACAATAGAGGAAAATATAACACGAACGCACGTCCGCACAGGTTTTGGGGATGTCCTGCTGCTGACCACTTGATGTTTTTCATTTAGCTGCTTATCTTGAGAATGCAGTCGACGGTCGACCCTTCACTCCAAGTCCTCGCACCTGCGGTTACAGCAAAGTCGCTGATGAGATTAAAAAAACTCAAACTCATCAAGCTAAACCTAAAAAGTCAAAGTCAAAGCTGGTGATAAGATTAGGTCCCAGTCTAGTCCAGGCATTGGCAAACTAAGGGCCAGGGGCCGGAAGTGGCCCATTCAGCTTTGTAATCCGGCCCGCTAAATTTACGTCCAAATAATTTAATTTTATTATTGTGTAATAAATAACAATAATAATAATACAATTAATAATAATAATAATAAAATAAAAAAATTAAAATATATATTATAATATAAAATATAATATAAATATATAAAATATACATAAAATATATAAAATAATAAGAATACAAAAAATAATAAATAATATTTATTATTTTATTATTTTTAGTATTGTGATTTTACTTCGGCCTTTTTCCTGCAATGCCCGTGTTTTCCCTATAGATGGCGTAGAGAAAGCTAAAAGCATTTTAGCATTTTAGGACCAATTGTGGTCCGGCGAGTTAAAGAGCGTTGCCCATGCCTGGTCTAGTCACAGCCATGTCACTAACAGTTCAGTAAAACGTAAGTGTCAACTATTCAATTCTCACCCTAAAAATGTGTCCAGCCAGTGGCTGAAGTCTGCTCTCCGATTCACTCAGGCCAAGACGAGCAGATGTTACGTAGAGGTCAGAGTAGTCCGGACCACCAAAACAACAGGAAGTGGGTTTGGACACTGGGAGTATGACGGTCTGTAGCCGTACACCTGGGAAAGTTCAACAACACAATAAATAGCGAGCAAAATAAAATCAGTAAAATCAAACAGGGCGAGCTGATGCTGTCCAGTGGTGGCCCAGTTGTGTAAATGGAGCTAGTGTATCTTGAAGCTACAGAAATGGAGCCTCATCATTTAAGGAACACCAGGATGATCAATGCCCACGAGTGTAATATCATTACTAACCAGTAGAGGGGTCAATGCTAATAACCTTTCCTGCATTGTAACAGGCGACCCACAGGTGACCTTCAGCATCAGATGTCATGCCATCAGGAAACCCCTCCCCTTCCTCCATGTGATACACCGTACGGCGGTTGCCTGGGAATCAACAACAAAAAAATGAGGTACGTAACAGCATGTGTTAGCGTCTTCAGTGATGAAGAAAAAAAGAAAAGTTGGTACATACATGCAGGAGTGTGTCAGTGTAAAAAGCGTAAACGCATAGAGCATTTCTTAGCGCAGCAGTTCTCAGCTGGTTGGGCGCAGACCTTTGTAAGGTACAAAATGACGAGCGAACGAGCAGACGTTCACACACCGTAACAGTAGGTGGCAATAAAAAATATGCATGGCTAATTATAACAAATAGAAAGAACAATATATATATATGTATATGTGTGTAT